AGGGCTGCTGCAGTTTACTTATGAAAGAACACTGGGCGATGGGTGCGCCACTTTCCCTACGCCGGTAAACTTCACTGATACTCGTCTTTAATACAGTTTATAAAATTAATATAATACTATATGATAAGTACCATACTTATTTAGTTTACATGTTATAATAACTCTATTGATCTTTTTTATTTTTTGCAAAAATAAAAAATTACCCTTAAAATAAAATAAGTAAAATAGTTATTACTATATTATAATAATTGTAGTTCATAAAAAGACTAACTGCTATTAGTCTGTATGCATTCAGCTTGAAAAACAATAGGCCGTTTGGAAAAATAATAAGTAGTTCGCAAACGGGTTACCCCATTGCAAAGAACCTAGTCTTTTCGCAAAAAGGCTAATTTTCTATATTGCCTACGTTTTATACATTGCTATAATATATTATAAGGTCTTTTACGTACTTGTACACCAAGTGATTCCATCCATTCCTAGTTCATTTTCTATTTCCATTGACTCATCAACATACAAAAAAAAAAAAAAAATAAAATCGAATGATCTCTCTAATGCAAATGCAGCTTGACAACATTTTCTTGCAGAAACCACCCTTGAAGTTGATAATAGGAATAAGATTTTTGGTAAAAAATTTGTTCGCGGACCGAAAAAGAAGCTTAGATCATAAAATTTTTTTCATTGGTGGCTACGATCAAAATCTAAAATCAAACCTTTGAAATCGTGACGAAAAAATTGTAAAAGATACGATTTTAGTATTACATATAACATGATCTTCCACAATAAAAATATGATCATCCCTTGTACGTTATCCGTTTTTTTTTTTTTTTTATGTTTTATTTGTTATACACATCTATTGGAAGGAAGAAGCGAAAGAAGGTAATTCTGGGTCGTTTCTGCGATCCCACCAAAAACGGTAAGACTACCCGTCTACATACAATAAACATATTTTATAGGCTATTAATATTAATAATTCATCGTTAACGAGTTGGGTCCTTTTTTTTATGCACGAATATTGTATGTCCATAAAATAGGTAGGTATATGACTTATATAATGCTCAAAAATATATATATATATATATGTAAATTATTATCAAACCCGAAAAACTGAGTGCAGCAGGACAAACATATTAGTTACATTATTATATTATACTCCCAAGCCCGTAAAAACAAAAGTTTGAAAATATATAATTTAAATTGTGGACGTGTTATAAGTACGATATATAATATTAAGAGCACGTTTTTCGTTGTATGTCCATTAAAAAGTTTATACGTACATTGTACAATGTAAAACATATATCCGGTAGTACATTGACAAGCTCGCTTACTTTTCGTTATGATATAACTAATATATAAGAAATAGTTTATATTTTATTTACAAAATATATCCCAAGAACAGTCGGAATGAAATCGAAGAAGAATGATAATTGATATAATATAGTTTATAGGTAAAAAAATATGATATCCGGAGTGAATTTTTGATTAAATCAAATGAGTTTGAAATCAACTTTGATGACGGTACTAAACTTTTTATTGGACAGTAATTTTTTTTTTTTTGACTTCTGGAATATTTCAGAATTTCAAAATAAAACCGTTTGGATATTTAATTTGAATTTGTATACTTCCGATATTCAGTTTTAAATCTATGTATAAAGCTGCGTATCGATGGTAATAAATTATTATATATTTGTACAGAAAGCTTTTAAATCCAAAAAAAAGTGTTGATATGTATGCTAATTTTTTAAAAAATGTGATAATAAAAACATGTAAAATCGCGTTTACATATAGGATGGATCTACGATGGTGCAGACTATAAGAATATAATATTACTGATATGTTTTCTTATTCAAATTCTAAGTCGGAAATAATATCATAATATGCGTAAAACGATCCATATACGTGGCAGAGTACATTATTAAAATATAAACGTTTATTATTGTCATATTTTTTTTTTTAAATTGTTTCTCTTTTAAAAAATTCCAGAACATTTCGTTTCGGGAAATTTCAAAGACACACATCTAAAATACCATCTGTGTTAAATTATCTACAGTTACAGCGTAAAAGTTTTTTTTTAATATTTGAATAATCGATTTTATTATTATTCGAAACTTTCATCGTGCTAAAATTACAATATTATCATTACTAATAAATTATTTTACAAAACTTTTTGAATAACTAAAAAGGTGTAGTATTAAAATATATAATATTCAATACAAAATTTATATTCATTCGCATAATGTTCGTCTAATTCGCAACAGAAATACCATCTTTTTACACCAAAAGTATAACATGTTTTTGAGAAATTTCAATCGAGAAAATAATATTATGCATGTTTTGTATAGGTTAGACAATGTAAGTTTGAATTCCTGCGTATATCAAACGCACATGCATATTGTTCGTAAATTCTATTATTATTTTATAAGTAGCGAACAAAGCGAATGTTTGTATATAAGATAATATTTCCGAGAATGTGCATCTTATATCATATATTGTACTGTGTGTAGAATAATATTTTAATATCGTTTTATTTTTATGGATAAAAAAGCTAGGTTCCATATCATTTTCAACAATAATGGTATTCAATTTTTTTTTTTCACCGATTAAGTATTTAAAAGTATTTAAATATTTTACAATATTCAAGTTTTATATAAAATAATAAACGGTCACTTTGGTACTGATCTGTTCGTGATTCCTATTAATTTAATGACTAAAATTTAATAGTGAAAATTCATAAAAATGAATCGTTAAAAAAACACAATTTAATATTTAATTTATACTTATATCGGTCTCTTAATGTTATAATATGTATGTAAAACATACAAATTCTTTATTTTGATGAATAATAATTTAATTATATCAATATTCAATATAACAATTATAAAAATAGACAGTTATATTTATTATTTTATATTGAAGAATGTCAAAGAATTTCTAATCTTCTAATAAAAAGTCTAATCTTCGCCATGAAAATCGTACTATTCCAGCGTTTTTACCACCATTGATACTGTTTTCTACTACATTTTTATCTTTGTTACTAACTCGCACTAAATTCAATCGTTTCAGGTCTTTATCAATTACTTTTTTGGATGTCCTCTAAGCAGTAGAGCAGGCCTGAAGGCATTTCTAGTTTATCTCCACTTAATTTATTCTGGTCTCCTCATCAAACGTCCAAGCCACTAAATACCCTGTTCTTTCATAAAATTCGTTATCTTTGAAAAGCTTGTCATCTACCGGACTTCCTTGTTTTCCTTCCTATACGCTACCATTCCAGTCGTGATCATGTATCAGACTACAGATAATTTTCAGTGTTTTTGTGTCAAGCAATATCATTTTTTTTCTTACAACCATAAATTATGGTTAGTCTAATAATTTATTCTAATAAACAAATCTAATAATGTTAATGAATCACAGATTTAATTTCAAAGTCGACTAGGAATATTTTTTTATGCGTCGACATCGAATAGATCACGATTTTCCAGTCTACCGGGCAAAAAAAGGAAACATTGATATGACCCTATGGGGCACTGAAAAATATGTCAAAAATAAAGAGCACTTTTATGTGGCTATTAATTCCTTATAGGTTAAAAGAAAACATATTTTAGAATCCATTAAATAGCAATCGAAGACTTTCATTAGTAAAATTTCGTTCAGAAATACGTTTTTAACTTTTATTTCACTCGTATATTTTGTAAAATTATAAAATAGGACATATTACATTATTTCGAGTACCTTATATTGCTGTACCTCTTTTGAACTGCACTTTTTTTGTAATTCCACTAAGAGTAGTTTACTTAGGCAATAAAGAAACAAACAAAAAAAAGGAAACATAATATATTTCTTTTTGCAAGATTATAAGGATGTGGAATTCAATCCAAAAACATGACGTGTAGAGTGACAGGTTGACGATTTTACAAGAGGGAGCAAAAATGTAATTATATTATACATAGTTACCGTCAGTGCCATTTTCATTTGGTTTTTTGTTGATTATTTATTACATTTGCGACCATTGAAAAATGTTGCGATTTTACATCGTTTCAAAGGCATATATAGGTAGACATTAGACAATAATAATTATAATTTCATTACACTGTAAATTAAAAAAAAAAAATAACAACTTGTCACTCGGTATCTTTTCATAATTTGAACCACGAGCATATCAATTAAGTTGGATTAATTTGTAATATCAAAAGCCATACAGGTAGGTGTAATTTGTCTTGAGGAAATTGAGTTTTTGATTTTCACAATATTTTGTATAGATATTTAATACGGTCGCATTTCGTTACTGTAATCATATTGAATACTTACCTATATATTGTATGGGTGCACAACAATGTTATTGTATTTCATATTTAAATTGGAGTAGGTATCAATATAAAAACGTTAGTATTATCATTAACGTTACCTACTCGTCATAAAAAGGAAAAACAACTGTATAATAAAGAAAATATAAATTTAATTGGATCCCACAACTTAATATTGTAATATATTTATTCGAGTAAAATAAAATATGGTTGTAGTCGCGATGTTTTTTTAATATAACGTTGGTTTTGTGTTTTGTTTTTTCTAAAAAACTTCAGTTTAACTGACGTAAACATAACTTGATACCAAACGACAATGTTATACGGTACAAACTAACGAAACGATTTATTTCGCGATTTCGCATTTTATATTATATAGACTGTCGAAAAAAACAAAATTAGTCGTATACTCCGGTGTTTTCAAATTCCTCTTAAAAAAAAAACAATAAAACTAACATAGAATGCGAATGGCATACCCTCGAAAACGACTTGAAAATGTACATTGAATTCTGTGAAAAGTCTGGCATTTTTTTTTCCCAGTAAATAAGTTTTACTATGGTTTCATTTTACTCTTGAAATTGTCCATTATCGGTGTAGTTTTCATATTAAAAATCAAATGTACTTGAAAATCAAAACTAAAGTTTTTCACCATTTTTTAAACCCAAACAAGTAACACGTCGACTAATCTTTTGACTATTTCTTATTAAGAAATAGTAGAATAAGAATACGTAACACTAATTAACTCATGTTTTATTATGACAATAGTTAGTAATAAGTTAGTAACTTATATATTGACTTTTCTGTGTATTAATTTAAAAATCATGTCTTAATATTATTACTTTTTTGTACATAACAGCACACCAAATCTCAAATAATTTTAACATTATAAACATAAACTATTTTCAGTTTATTTAAACTATTATTTTAGTAACTCGTATTGAGAAATTAATTATTTTAGAAACTAAAAAAAAAAAACAAAAACTTACCTGTTTGGACTGTATGAAATGAAATAAAATACGTTTAATATTATTGACGATAGTAAATATAAATCAAACCAATTTAAAAATAACTTTGTTATGAATAAAACCAGTCGGACGTCGCGCGTCGGTGTTTACTGTATAGTGAATTACATAAACATATTGTTTTGTCTGTTTATTTTCATAAATCATAAGAGTTATTCTGAAGAAAAAAATATTTTTGATACGGACATATGCATTAGTAATGAATGATCTGAAAGTTAGTATACCAAAAATAAATTGCATTATTAGTAACTTACTAACGAAATCGTTATTTGTCATTTTGTGTTATTTTCTCTTTTCAAAATTATTCAATTAAAATTGCTAAAAACAACAAAATTACTAAATAAAGCTTAACTAATACTTAATTGATAGGGGGCCCAGCTCCTATAATATTTTAGAGGGCCTACCGGGATTTTCCCGTTATCCCGATGGGCCAGTACGCGCCTGTTTCTTAACTATCCGTTAACTAAATTCGCTTCTGTTACGCATCACGCACGTGTTCAAGTGACGGACTTTTAGTGTAAGTATTGCATACAAGTTTTGTTTTGTAATATTGTCGTTCGTTGTAATAGTTTAAAATTTATTCTAATATGATTACATACACATATGTCTTACACATGAGCCACCGCAATGGAACCGTATTATCTAAAATGCGTTCAACACAGGATGAAAAGCGTTTTCAAGTTTTTTAAATAAATGTTTTCAAGTATTTTACTTATTTTAATTAAAATAATTACTTTGGCGTTGGTACGTATAAATTAATTAGCAATAATACCTAACATAAAAAAAATGCAGTATTTCATTTGACTCTGAAAATTACAATTCGGCACGACCATTATATTGTTTAGTTAATAGCTTGGTAGATGCATTTTTATTAAATATTATTACCAAATATGCATTATACCGATGGTGAAATTTAAAGATAAATATCATTTATTACATATTACAATTTTGTTCTGATATAATTGTTTTAAATTTCTAACAGTGAAATTATTACTTATATTAAAACGCATTTGACTTGTACAATATTTATTTTATACTTCTAACATCGTTTTAAAATGACTATGGATTAACTCTAATACGCGTTATACATGTATCTGTATGATAACATAAATTCACGACTTTTGTTGCAAAAATTCGGAAAATCCTGTAGCTTTGAGGTATACATGGACCTGTTAATTTGCTTCTAAATGTACATAAAGACATTGCGGATCGACGTAGAAAAAAAAAAGAAAAAATAATATATTATACTTCTTATCAATAAATACTACGTGTACACGAAAACAGCACACTCAATAACTCATCACCCTCTATTTATATTTTCATTATGCTCATGGAACATAAAAAGGTTCACACGGTATATAATATAGCTTATTTAATTCCGTGCGTACCTTTTCATGTTCCACGAACAGAATTAAAATATATAGTATAGAGAGTGATGAATTATTGAGTGCACCCTGCTTTTGTTGACACACGGTATATAATATAGTCTATTGTTTAAAACATAATGTTAAATTCTATTCATAGAATATAAACAGTGATTATTTTCAACGATTAATATTCATTATATCTCAAAAAATATTAACTTCATATGAACCTTGTTTGAGTTTTAGTATTTGAAAAAAAAAATAAATAATAAAACTATGATATTTTTATGTTTATTTCAAAATTAATTTTCCATTTTATAATTACGGTCTTTATATTTCGAATCATAGAAACATGAGAATAATATTATTGTATTTCGTGTGCGCGTATCAGAAAGATTCTCTTATTTGCAGCATGTCAGAAGAGAAATAAATATAAATTGTTTTTAGCAACCAGTGTATTATTATTTTGTTACTCATATTTTGTATTATCAAAAACCCCGAAATTTAAAGTCCGTTAGATAACATAAACATGTATTACAGTAAACCTATATTACAAAGTTTCTGAGAAATCATTTTTTTAATAGAATCCTTATGAAATATTTATATGTATTTAAAATTTAAAATACCTACGCTATAAAAATCAAATAATATTAGAAACTTACTAATTTTATCCATTTAAAAAGACAATCAATCCTTTGCATTTAATTTAATGTAGTATCAGAGAGGTGTTACTCAAACTATCAAAATGCTCGGAATAGTATCCAATTATAAAAAAAAAAAACAAGGGAATTGCAACTTAGAGCGGCCTGCAGTAAAAATAATGTAGAAAAAAAAATCTACTCCATCAATACCTGATACAGTTATTAAGCTAAATGAAAACCTAAATCCTTTAGTCATTTTGATAATTACGTTGGGTAGAAATTTAAGAAGAGAGGTGAATGGGAACTGGCAAGTCGGTAGCTTACATTTTAAGTAGAAAAATCTCACTGCGGAGCGATAGAAGTGCAAGAAATAAGTACCATAATATAAAATTATAGAATAACCTCCTTATCGATTTTCAGACAACTATCAAAATTCAGTTTTTGAATACTTTTTAAAAGGATTACTATACTGTACTTAAGTAATCAAAACGACTTATTAACTCTAAAAATCAAAACAGGTTAACGATTTTAAACAAAAACAAAGATTGCTTCTTTAATTAGGTCGGTTCCTATAGTTTTTATTGATCGTTACCACAATATTATCATCGTATCTACTTAACGTTAACCAATTATTCGCAAGTAGCCCTTAATCCTTATGTCAGAGGTGATCCTTATTTTTATTAAGTTGGGTGTTTTCCAAAAAGCAAACAATTTTCATTAATTGTACGCGTTTACCGCACTAAAAATAGACATTTATGCTACTTCTAAACAATATAATTTTTTTCTATACATTTATTAATCGTGAAAAAAGAATACATCAATTTTATATTTATAATAAAATTGATGTCGCACAAAAATTCACAGTATTTAGATATGGATTTAAGTAAGTCGCAGTTTGAAAATTAAAAGTATATACCTAGATAACTAGTTATTCAAAGTATAATGAGTAGGAAAACAAATTAAAAATTATATTAAATCAAGGTTGAAACAATTCCATATTAATTGAAAAAAAAAACACGCAAAATTAAATTTCCTTAAAATCAATTGAGAAAATATCGTGATAAATGGATCACCTTGTATTGTAATACAGTATTTTCAAATTATTTGAAGTAGAAAACCAGGGTTGAGTATAATGATTTACAGTTAACCAGCAAATTGATTTTATTGTTTTATTTTTTTTTTTATTATTATTATAAAGCATATACATTGATTTTGAAAAAAAAATTATTTGTACATTTGCCATCATCCGCTGTACCATATGGTGCACACCTGAAATTCAGAGTTTTATAGAATCTAGAGGAACGATTCTGAAAAATATGCAATAACGAGCTCGAGAAATCTCTTAGTCGACCAGAGGAAAAACGTTTTCGAAAAAAATAAATAAATATATATTATCGTTTTCTTTCTGAGGTGCAATTCTTTTCTTGGTATTTTTGTTCTCAGTTATATTACATAGGTACTTTCTTAGTTTAATTCTACAATAAGTTTTATGTTTCGTGTTGATTAAACATCCAAGCGGCTACATTTTTGCCTTTGTAGAATTAAAAATTCTTATTATTCTTGTTTTTTTTCAGCGGTTGAGGGGCAGCACTTGCATTCATTAAATAATAAAAACAGAAAAGATCGTTCAAAGTTTTATGAAATATTGAAGTATATCAAGTATTTTAATTTTATTTTTATCATCGTTGTCAATAAACAATCTTATGTAAAAAAAAAAAAATTAACCCAATGCTAAAAAATAGTTTTTCTGTTTAAGAAAATGTATGTTTCACATTGCGCTCTTCTAGGACTAAAATTTTGAAAAATAGATTTTAAAAAAAAAGAATCTCCACCCAAAAGTTTAGTGTGCCATCTTTTATTTGAACATAACCTCTTTTTGAAGTTAAACAAAAATGTCCTGTGGTCTTCTTTTTAATTTGGGACATTGCAGTGTTTTATAAATACATGAAACAATAGATATATTTTAAAATTATTTTATGGGTTATGGTTTAACCCACAGTCCGAGTCGGAGATGTTCATAAAAAAAATAATAAGCAAGTAATGAGACAATATTATCATTTATCAATATTAAACTATCTAAGACAGCGGTTCCCAATCTTTTTTAGTTCACGCCACCCTAAAAATTAAAAAAATAATTTCGCCTCCCATAAAAAATTAAATTACAAATTTATAGTATTTAAATAAACAAACATTTTTATTTTTATGAAAAAAAAACAATGATTATTAATATTTATACTTAATGTGAACAATGTGCTTGTTTTCCGTTTAATAATTCTTCAAAATTAGGTATCAATGTTGTGACAGCATTTCTTTTTCAATATTAAGTTTTGATCGATATTTTGATTTCAATACAGCAACTGAAGAAAAGTCTGCTTCGCATAAATACGATGTCGCAAATGGCAGTAGTACACGCAAAGCTTTGTTGGAAATTTCTGGATATTCGTCTTTAATGCTGTTCCAAAATCCTAAAAGTGAAAATGAAGAAAATTTTATTCGTAACGAAGAATCATATGATATATCGATTAATTGTTCTTCTTCAGTAGTTGTGAAATTCGGTAATGGTTTTTCACTAAACGGATCTTTAATCCAATTGTATTGTACGATGTCTTCTGAAAAATATTTCTCGAAATGATTTTTAAGAGTCATCAGATGATCAGAAATTATTTTTAGTGAACTCATTGGTAGGTCAAGATCATTATCTTCAAGAAAACTTTTTAAAAGTTGAAAACACGTGGTTTTACCGTTTTTTCGGTCAGTTTCCTTTGCCATAAGTCGATTTTTTTAATAAAAGCAACCACTTTATCATATAATTGCAGAATATGAGTTTCTTTACCTTGTAAAGATGTGTTAAGTATATTAAGTTTTTCAAAAATATCACATAAATACGCTAATTTAATTACAAAATCACTATCAATAAACTTGTTAAAATCATTATGACCTTCTTCACTCAAATAAGTGTAAAGTTCTTGTCTAAGTTCGAACACTCGTACTAGTACGTTTCTTTTTGATAGCCATCTAGAATTTCAATAAAACAGTAACGCAGTATGCTCTGCTCCCATTTCTTCACATATCTTTTTAAAGAACCTTGCTTTTACAGGCCTTGTTTTTATGTAGTTACTACTTGTATAACTGTTTGAAGTACGATATTTAACGATAGACACATATTTTGTGATGCTAAAGATTCTCGATGAATAAGACAATGAGTCCATATCATTTCTGGAGCTTTTTGTCGTATTAAAGCCTGAAGTCCACCATAATGACCAGCCATAGCTCGAGCCCCATCTGTACATACACCCAAACAGTTTTCCCAATTAGTATTATTACAATTCATAAAGTCATTAGTGATATCAAATAAGGTTTTAGCCTTAGTGTCTCCGAAAATTGGTTTGCAAAATAATAACTCTTCTATAATATTCGTTTTGTCCATAAAACGAATATAACATATCAAGTGTGCGTCTTTATTACTATCGGTAGCTTCATCAAGTTGAATTGCAAAATGTTTGTTTTTTAATTTAGTAATAAGCTGTTCATTTATGTTTTCAGAAATATCATGAATTCAGCGACTTATTGTATTATTAGACAAGGGAATATTTTTAAGTTGGTTTGAAGTAGATTCCCCGATCATAGTAGAAACCATATCAATTGCTGATGATAAAAGTTCTTCAGAAATTGTATGAGGTTTTTTACTCTGAGCAACACGAAATGCTACCTTATAATAAGCTAAAAATTCTTTGGTTGGAACACTTGTCTGTTTGATTGTTTTTCTAATTGTTCACGTTGTCTTACAAAATAATCACGTTTTTTATTAATTAACGATCCATGATTAGTTTCAAAATGACGCTTTAATTTATTTGGAATCATACTATCGGCAGCTAATACTTTTAAACAAAAACCACATTTAGGACGTTCTTCGTTGTCTATTTTGGTGTAAGTAAAACCAAAGTCTAAATAACTATTATCGTATTTTCTGAACTTACGTTTATTTTCTTCTTTATTGTTGTCTTCATTTAAACGCTTGGTTGTACTCTTAATATTGAGAAATTTTTCCATTTTTCCAGAAAAGATATAAAACACGAGTTGAATATGCACAATTCGAAAATGACGAATATACCTTATGTACGGTTCATTCACGACTACTACTGCTATTATATAACTGATATTACAATTCAACACTATTCGGTAGACGCAATAATATTGGGTTATCGATAATAAGATAATGCTGTAACGACATTTACGGAAATCCCCGAATCAAGTATATTATTGTACGAGTATAACGCGACTTTAAGTAATACTAACATAATAGTGAAATAATTTTTTGGAATAGTTATGACATTTCAACAAAATTATTGTTGATTTAAAAATATAAATATTTACCACGCGGCTCGCGCCTCCCAAGGGAGGCGTGCCTTACAGTTTGGGAACCGCTGTTATATTGCATATATACATGCAAAGTTATTAAAGTAATAACTAGAGACGATTCATTCAACACTGATTTACAGGGAAAAGTTGTTTTGCATATTTGCTTTTTATTAATTTAAAAAAAAAAAACATCAATTATTTAGGTACTGATAATGATTTCTTTTCTACTATCCAATGCTGAAGGGATACTAACGATTAGGCCTAGAGAAATTTTAAATTTTAATATTGGAGGGGGAGGGGAATTGTTTGTGTGGTTTGAACGGAACTGATCTACATATTTGAAGTTATACATGTTAATATACATTAGTATAGATGCATTCAAAATAAAAAGTCTTAAAAAAATAATAAGCATGAAATCATTACAATTATATTACAAATGTCAAAAAATTCTTAATAACATTTTATGTGATTATTTCTTTATTCCAATACAATATTATTTTGTTCAGTAATAATATTGTACTTAGTAGTACACCTTATATCTAGTTTTACTGCGTCACTGTTTTATGTATGACCACAGCTTGTAATTATGCAATATACAGAAGGCTCGTTTCAGTGGTATACGCAGGGGGCTAAGGAGTTAAAGGCCTCCCCCATTGACCAAATTTTTTACATTTTACTGGTTTCAACTGTAACAATAATTAGTAAGTTATGATTTTTTTTTTATAAACTACAGTATTTTCATGAGTAAACAATTTAATTTATCACCGTTGTCTATTTATAACCTTATTATATTATCACAGAATAAGATGTAATTAGGTTAATCAGATTATATTTTTTGTCCAACTGTGGTGACACTCGTTATAAACAATGGTATTGTTATTATAACTTTGGGGGTTGGTGTTATTATGCATACGCGGGCTGCACACACCAGATATTAAAAATATTATCTATGATTGTCAATATTGAACTTTCTAACTGATGTTATAAAAAATCAACTGTTAAGTTAGCCCACAAATGTAGATAATTTTGTTTTTATTTATTTCTCTTGAGTGTCAAAGTATTAATATTTTGTATGCTTAGGTTTTTCGTCATTGTTTTCATGTAAAATGTATATTATAGTTTTGCACACTAAAATCAGGGGTGTCATTTGGGGGGGAGCAGTGTATGCAATTGCATTATTTACTTTTAAAATAATCCCAATTGGACTGCTAAAATAATGCTCCATTTTTTTATATAATTATAATCAAATTATATTTTTATATTAACAATATTAGTATTTTACAGTCTAAACCAATATAATATAAACCAATGCTATCAACAGTAATTGAGTAAATACTGAATTGTTTTATAGTAACCTAAATATTAAAGGTTTTTTTAATTTTTTACATATTTTATGTTTATTATCAGAACAAACCACGAATGCACCTATTGACCATTATTTTTCAAACTTGCCACAAAACAACTAATTAACTATAAATTGCCAATCTCTCCCCCCCATAGAAAAATCCTGGCTTGTCTATTAGTTTAAAATCAGTGTTTATAGGCAAAACACTTAATTATAATTTGAATTGTTTATTATTATTACCATAAAATAATTAAGAAAATAAAAATTTTTTTGTTAAATTATTGTTTTATTCGTTATAATCAAACAACTAATTAATAAAAAGCTGTTCTAGGGTAATGGGGATGGGTGCAGCCACTGTTGTACTTGGGAAAATGTAAGAGAAGGGAATTTAATGTTTATCTGTAAGCAACGATAAATCATTGCTAACGAAAAACAATTCTGAGCGGTGTTCAGTTGATAGTGATGCTTCATCAACAATATATATGTCATATTATGTTAAAATAACTAATAATCATTATATATTTTCTTTAACAAAATTTGTTTAATATTATACCGTTTTTCCTGTTTTTTCCTGGTTTTTCACTTTGCTGGGAAAGCTCTTAGGAAAAATCGAAAAATGATTTCCCTTAAGTACCTTCCCACACCAATTTCCTTACAGAAAAAGTACTACATTTAAAAATCTGACCAAGTCTTCTGGTAGAACACTTAACAGTAGTTTCATTATAATGAGTTGTATTTATTGGCAAACAAGCAAAAGTTAAGTTTAATGTAGTATTTTTTTTATAAGAACCATTCTAAAATGAAAAGCATTTGTTATATTTATGCTTAGTTGAAGCATTTTAATATGTACCTAATATTTAATAAAATAGTAGGTAAACGCAGCAATAGGTGAACACGGAGCACATATCTATAGTGTATACAGGGTGATTTACTCAACTGTAAACACTTATTATCTTGGAAAGTATTAACCTTTTTCGAAATTTTTTTTTTTGAAAACTTCAGAATCAATTTTATAAATTTGAACTCAGGAATGCTAAAGATCCTCTTTAGTCCTCTTGTTGTGCCACTGAGCTGCACAGAGTTCAGTCCATCATCGCTTCTAGGAGGTTCGGATTTGATGGCGGAGGGACTTAATTTCGACCATGTTGCTGGTATGTTCGCGTTTCTTTACCGTCTTTAAAAAGATAAGTAGAGCTCTGATGCAGTTAGCCCTGAGGTCAGCGATCTCTTGGCTTCATCAATGTGTCGGTCTTAGCTTGGTATCGCGAACCTACCTTCTGGGCATGCAGGCATCACATATGTTGGCTAGGTTAGCGTTTAGGGCATCAGATGCCTTCTTGCGGAAGTGGAGTCGGTGAGAGTGAGTGGCTTACCTGCCACTTTGTGGACGGAGATTCGTGGTCTAGCTTCAGGAAAGATCAGCCGATTTGCTAAACCAGTTCAGCCGCAGCATCGCCGATTGAGACTGTAAACGAAATGTACTTGTGATCACTGCTGGAGTAAGCATCAAGTATCTTCTAGTCGAGGAACCCAGTCTGAAAAATATTACATCCAGTATTAACGCGAACGCCCCGTACTCGAAGGTAAGACAGCTGGACATTGTTAATACAGAAACCCAGACTGGCTACGAAGGCCTTGAGTGCCTCACCCCAGCAGTTATCGATGCTGGAGTTCCAGTGTGTCGATTTGGCGTTTAAGTCTTCAACTACAAGAAGTGTTTCGCCCGTTTTTCACCTTGATAGATGGCGTGGTCTAGATCATCGAGGAATTCGAGGCGAGAGGCCACCGTGTCGCTGTTAGGTCCTATAGCAACTGAAGACACAGACACTCCTGAAACGGAGCTTGGGAATGCTATATCTATCTATCAACTGATAGTATGATAAACTGTATATCTAATTAAGTTTTAATATAAATAATAACTGCCATATGCATTCATTTTTCTTGTCAGTATATATATATATTATAGGTATATTCTGATATATTATATTATATTTAAGTACTAGTCTCAGCGATATACTATTTACCAATAAATGTATAATGACATTTTAGTAAACTGTTTTTATTAATTTGTATATCTTCATATGTCAATACTTAAATAGTTAACAGTCGAAAAATGACTTGTTTTCTTTTGATTGATACTTTTTATCATATATTAAGTAACCTATTTAAGGGTCTATACTCGATATTTTGAAAAATGATTGACTTTTTTTCGAAATTTATGAAACTTCATATTACCTAAAAAAAAAAGGGTAATGGGAGGATCCATCTCCTATATCCTCCCCCCCCCCGTGAGAATGCCCATGCTATTATATAATATACCCATAATAATATAATGTACCTATTAATTTTTAAAAATAAATAATTATAAATTATGATAACCATACTGGTATAAATTCAAATTTCTTTTTTCCAACTGTTCTTATTTTAAGTTAAAAATATTTAGATAATTTACTTTTTCCACTTGCTATTTTTTTCTAAACTACATTTAAACAATAAGAGCAACATTTATGTGAAATCAGAACTGCATTTTTATTAAATTACATACTATTTGTGCCTTACCGTTACTTACATAGAATAATTTAAATACATAGAATCAACCGAGTATAGGATCGTAAACGGCCATATACACGATACATGTTATAATAAGAAACAGTAGTGAAGTAAGCAATGTAGTAAAGATATTACGCTCGCCATGATTCTTGCGGTCTTCGAGTTAAACTCGTTTAAATTTTTGACGTTCTAAAGCTGTCCGGTTATGCGTAATGGAAACTTTTAAAGTTGAGCTTAATAACGTAATGAAATATTTGCCTTCATTGAAATCATTAACAAAGCAGATGGTAAATTTTTTAGAGGGAAACTCATTTTAGAAAACAATATTTAATTTCTTTAGAGGCCGCGGTTTATTGCCACTATTAGGTCTACGCAATCTGTACAATTTAGGATTAATTGGCACAGAGATTGAAAAAGCTGAATGACATTAGTGATTCGTTTAGTGTCATCCGCGATTATATCCGAATGTAAAGATGTTGAGGATTCCGAGAGTGAACAATGGACAACATTGAAAGAACATTTTCGATGCTCACACAGTTTATGAAAAATGGGGCAAATTAATATCTATTATATGATTCTAAAGAAAGAGGAGTAAACCTTTCTGACTAAGAAAAATATAATATAGTATTATATGATTAGTATTATTTAAAAAATATATAGATATGTATGATCTCCAGATGAATGAATTTCCTCTTGTATATATTAAAACCTAATTTTTAAATATATTGAAATCCACAAGTTATATATATAAACATAATTAAATTAAGGTATGAATTAAATGCAGACATTTTCTTTTAAAACTTTATAAAGAAAGTCATTTTTGTCTTTTCCAAAAATAAAATAAATCCGTTTTCTTGCTTATTAGAGTTAAATATTTTGCATTCGATAAAACATAGCTAAATAATTTGGATATTGTAATTATTACAATAACTTCAATTTAAATATTATTATATCAAGTTTAAGTTCAAAAAATTATTTTATTTTTGTAATACTATGTGATCTATGGTACTACAAGCAATCAATAAAGTATTATAATTTTAACGTAATCAATTTTTTTTTTTTTTTTAAATCTTTGATAAAAACATCAAATAAATTAAATGAGCTAATTAAGGAGCTAATATAGGCAACTTTTAATGCGGTTCCGAAAAATGTATTCCTCTATGGAACAACTAGTCTTTTTTCTCTTTAACTTCTTATTTTCGTCTGGCTTCTCTCTCTAAGTGCATTACTTTATAAATAAGTCTATGAGTCTTATAGACTTATACCTCTTTAAAAGTAGTCCTATATAATAATATTCAATTTTTTGGATTCGAACGTAGCGAGGGACCTATTGAGTTTATTTGATGTGTTTTTTATTTTTGTTTCTGTTTGTAATAACTTTTCTACAAAAACTCTTACTCTGATGTCTTAAGTGTAGCAATTTATCTGGAAAAAAAATACATATAGTTGGTGCATTAAAAAGGTCATTTTTGATTTCCCGATGGGTTTTCAAAATGGGAAAAACCGAAAACAAAATTATCAATAAAACGACAAATTTTACGGCGCACCACGGCGTTACTAATTTCATTATTTGTTCACGCTGTTTTCTTCCAGAAATATTGTTTTAATCAAAACAATTCCAAAAGACCTTTTTTGTTGAATTTTGGATTAAGATACATACTAGAAGGGTTGTTTTATGATTTCCCAAATAGTTTTCATAATAAGTGGGAAAACCCGAAAAGACGAAAAATGAAAAACAAACAAATTTACGCGCAACGTAAGATTTCATGATTTTCATTTTTTGCGTACAATGTTTTCTACCAGAAATATTGCTCCAATAGAAAAACCACTAGAGACATTTTTTGCTGCATTTTTAATTTAGTTAATGACTTAAGAATTTTCTTTCTGGTTTTCCACGTTGTTCTCATAATTATTCAGAAAAATAGAAATAAAAACGTAGGAAGAACGGAATAATTTACAAAAATAAAGCTTTTATTGATTTCAATTTTTTGTTGTAATTCAGTAAAAATACATTATAAGTTGTACTTAGTGGTCAACAAGAAAATATTGAGTTAACGTAGTATTTTTTTTTTTTAGTAAGAATTTTAATATCAAATTTTGATAAAATTTGGTAATGATAATTTGAAAATTAATTTTCCTTAAATATAATGTGTCTTTTTCTTGCTACTTTTAACACTAGTCTAACACATTTAGAGGCTTTCTCTAGACCAAATGAGCTTAAATGTGGGAATACGAATTTTTTCATGTATGGATTGAATTAATTAAATTTGGGTTGACTTTCACTAGCATAATATTGCAGGAATATCTGTGTTTTATTTTTAACACCTCTACAAATCTCTAAATGAAGCTAAGGGATGTAATTTAATGTATGCATGGCGTTACCACTATGGTAGCATTTTAACACGAGCTTCTAATTTTTAATACTAAAATGATAACATAATTAATATTCTATCCAAATATTTTTTCAAATAAAATTGAGTTCCAGTCTTCGTGCAAAATTATTTCATATGTTAGAAAAAATAATCATATAATGTGTAAATAGATAGGTGTATCTATATCGGTGTTCGTCAATTGGGGGTGTCAAAAAAAAAAATTTTTTTGATTAAATCCACGATTCTTATTGTAATGAACAAAGTAAATTCAGAAATGAAATAATTTTTTATTCTGACTTTTTAATTCTTCACAAATAATTGAGCTTAAAAATCAATAAATGTAAAGTATTTTAAAAAATATTGGTGGGATTGATATTGGTGAGAATCAGATTTGACTTACTCGGTTTCTGGTTTAACGGTTTACCACCATGATTTAAGATAGTACTATCTAAAATCGTGGTTACCATTTTAACAGAAATCACGCCTTACCATGTACTATTGATAACGTTATTAACACGTCCTTATCAGTGTGGTAACCAATGTGGATTAACTATCCATTATCCATTAATATTTTAATTCACCTTCATGGTAACCTTAGTATATGTGATGTTTGTTAAGACACATTTGAATTCGCGCCAAACCTGATATTTTCAAACTAGGTAAATTTAAAAAAAATCATAAATACTAAAATAATGACAAAAAAAAGCTATTTTTCAATCAGACAAAACTTTAGAATTAGGGAAAAATGTTGAAAACACCCATTGCACCGATTTTGGGACGCTACCTGTACTATATAAATCCATTGCACTAATACAAAAGAGGTATAGTAAAAAAGTATACATAAGTTGCACTGGAGCATTTATAATAATTGAAGTAAATAGAAATTTCTTATTTAATTTTCTGTATAATTTTAATATAATTTGTATAATTTATAATTCGTTAATACTTTATGAAATTCACCTAATCTAGTTGGTAGTATGGTAGATATAACTGTCGTTGAAATTACATCCAAGAACACAAATTACTATGATAATACTATACAGGGTGTAACTGGACTATTTGCCATTTTTAAATGTAACAACAATCTACAATGTAAAAACGCCAAATAGTTTAGTTACACTTTGTATAACGCTTGGAGCAACACTATGGATTTATATACCAAATGGATAATATTTGTTCAAATTTTATTTATCTTCAAATAATCAAATAATATAATTATAAAAGTAATAGTTTTCCAGAGTAAAAGACGTAAATGTATTTCAATCAATATTGTTGTATGATAAATCGTACATAAAATTATTCTGAGAGATATTAGATTCTAAATCGTCGACACGGATTATCGATAAACAATTTTTACATTCAAATATCGATCGAAGCAGTTGATGTATGCTTTTTTTCTACCCATCATTTTTCATCTTTTACTTAGTAAAACTTTGCGAAAAGAAATCTAATTGAATTCCGAATATCCAGTGAAATTGAAAATCATACAGTTATAACAACCAGTTCCATACCTTATCGGTATATATATAAAAAAAAAAAAATTTAAACTAATACATAGATTAAAAATTTCACTTCAAGTTTTTACGATATTACAAATATGGGTTATATAGAAACGTGTATTTGAGATTAATAAAAAGAAGGGTTAATTATTAGGTATTTATAATCATATTATTATCATCAAACCTATCACATGATTTTTTTGAACTTCGGTACTGTATATAAATCAAGGTCACATTTTTATTGTTATTTAATAGCACAAAATAGTACCTTAAATCAGTGGTTAAAGTAAAAAAAACTTCGAAGGCAGACTATATTTGCCGAAAATTGATGAGCGTTCTTGAGAAATAATTAAATTTAATCAACCTTTCAGGAAACACACATTTATTCACATTTCACATGTTATACTAATAGGGTTTAAAATAAATGGAACCTTCCCCTCCCCGTCAAATATTATTCTAGATAA